TGGAGAAGTGTCAAGGGCCGGAGCTGTGTTCTGGGGTGACAGGCCCAGGGAGAGTTGTGTCTGCTCTACAGGTCTGTCCTAGGAATGGCTGCTAGTGAAGTGGAAAGCTTTGGTCCGGGAGCCCAGCAGACCTGGGTCTGGGTTTTGGACTCCTCCCCTGTGGAATGGGACATTCATATCCCCATCATAGGGTCCTGGCTGGGACGATCTGAAGTGGAGTCTACCTGTGTCCCAGACACTGTTGTACTACACAGTCACCAAAGGCTGCCTCTCTCTTGAGGAGATGTGGCCCAAGGCTCCACTTCCCCCCATTCTGCCTGCCCTTTGAGGCCTCAGGGAAGTAGATGCTAAGTCATAGTGGCCTCTGCCTTGGAGAGCTGGGCTGGGTGTCTGGGGCAGGGCCTTCTAGATAAGATAAGGAGGCCAGTAGGGAGTGGAGGCAAGGCCCCTAGCTTCCCTCCTTCCTGCCTCTGCTTCCTGAGAATGTGGCCTTAGGGACAAGAAGAGCAAACCTCGAGTGAGTGAGGGTGAGAAGGTGTTGTGTGGCTTGGAAGCCCTGGACAAATGACTCCCTCCTCTCCTCCCTCAAGGAGCTCTGGTGGCACAGTGCCTAAGGCACTTGACTACTAACCAGAAGGTTGGTGGGTCAAACCCACCAGTTACTCCTCAGAAGGAAGACTATGCAATCTACTTCTGTAAAGATTTACTGCCTTGGAAACCCAAAGGGGTTTGCTATGAGTTGGAATCGACTCAATGGCAGTGAGTTTTTTTTTTTTTTTTCTCTTCCCTCACCTTCCACTCACCATTGCAGGGCTCTCAGCTTCAGCCTCAGGAGGTCCTGCTCCATGGGGGAGGCTCCAGGGGGTCCAGTCTCACACTCAGAAAAAGGCTGCTACAGTAGGTGTGCATTGGCCTGACCTGCCGTGCTCTCAGCCCGTGTCTGTGCCCTCTGAGTTGCCATTTGAACAGGTTGTCATGGGTACTAAGAGCACCACGTGTCCTGGGCCCAGGATGGGCCTGGTTGGACAGTTCTGTGTTAATCATTATATGAGCTTCTAGGAGACCCTTGGAGTGAAAGAAACACTGGAGGCTGATGTGAGCCCTCTCTGCAGTCCTCTGTTCATTCATTCATTCGTGGAGGGCCCACCATGTCCCAGACCCTGTGCTAGCTGTGAAGAACCTGGCTCTGCTCTTGGGTCTCGTGTCCAGTAGAGAGGGCCCCACAGACAACCACTTCCTCAGGGTGGTGAGGGCTGGCTTAGAGATGCCTGTAAAGGGTAGTCGGCTCCTTGACCTGTGCCTGAAGGGAAAAGGTATCAAGACTGAGGGCGCAGCTTGGACAAAGGGTCTGAGGCCTGAGACCGAGCAGAGCAATTCTGTGTGTATGTTATGAGGCTGCGTGGGTAATAATGTGGGGCTGGGGTTAGCTCTGGTGGCGCAGTGCCTAAGACATGTGACTGCTAACCAGAAGGCTAGCAGTTCACACCCACCAGTCACTCTGCAGAAGGAAGACTGGGCAATCTACTTCCATAAAGATTTACCGCCTTGGAAACTCAAAGGAGGTCACTATGGGTTGGAATTGATTCAATGGTAGTGAGTTTGGTTTTTTGAGTTTGGGATTAGATGAAACTCTGAAGGCAACGTTCTCTGAGGGTAATGGGTGGGAGTTGAGCAGGGTTGTTTTTGGCCTGTGGTTGTGGTGACTGCATTGGAGGGGGTAGCCTGGGAGGGGCAGTGAGGGGATGGGGCAATGAGGAGGGAGTGCTGGAGTTAATAGGTACTTTGGAAGAATCTTCAGGGCCAGGCTGTGGCAAGTGAGGGGAGGGCAGTGTCTTCAGGGATGCGTCCCTTGACTGTGGACATACTGCTGGGTGCTGAACTTGGGCTCTGGGATTGGAGGCGCACTGTGAGAAGAGCACCCTCACATGCAAGGTCTCATATTATTTTCCTCTGCTTGAGACTTACGTGAGGGCCTGGGCAGCACCCAGCCTGTTTCTGTGCCCATCTTGGAGGACAGGATGTTACGGTCCTGCCTGAACTCCTCCCCAGCCAAGGGGAGGGAGGGAGGTAGCTTCTTGCAAGAAAGGCCAGAGTGTGCCAGTTGTGGCCATGTGTAATTAATGAAGTTGGCAGTAGGAGCCAGCCCTTACTCTGAGCCAGGCCCTGGGCCAAGTGCTCTGCCTTCATGAACTCATGGAGTCCTTCCACATCCCTGCAGGGAGAATAATCTATCCCCTTTTCACTTGGTGAGGAAATGGAGGCACAGAGAGGTTGAGCCACAAGTCCTAAATTGCACAGCGGGTAAATGGGTGGAGCTGAAATTCGAATCCCCACTTCCTGACTCTGCTGGCCACCTCTGATAGGACTGCAGCTGCTCTGCTGTGATTGCAGGAGCCCCTGCTGAAGTGGATGAATGCAAGCCATGAGATCCACTGTTATCTTGCCCACACTGTGTGCCTGGGACATGTTATTCAACCTCTCTGGACTTTATTTTCCTCATCTGTAAAATGGGCACATCACTGCTCACCAATTAGGGCCATAGTGAGTATTAAGTAAGAGCTTGGTGCCGGCAGCACGCCTGGCACATTGAAGGCATGGCCACAGTGTTTGCCTCTTGTCATCCCACCCCCAGGGGTAGGGGAGGAATTGTTGCTGTCTCTCATTTCTGTGGAGTGAAATTCTGATAGAAGAGGAGGTGGGTCCTAAAGTGGGCTCGTAGGACACACACATGCCCCAAGCAGAGACCTGGACTGGGAAGGTGAAGGGAAACACCGTGCCCAGCCCTGCCCCATTTGACCCATTGGGCACACACAGTGCACTCAGAGGACTCTGTAGATGTCTGCTTAGCTCTACTTCCTGGGCCAGGGCTGGGGGCATGCTGGGTGCTCTCCACTCAGCCTGACAGAGGAGTGTTTATTAACGGCTGTGGGAACCCTGGGCGAGGTACCCCTTGCAGGCTGCTTCTGTTGTTGCTGGAGCCACCTTTTAGATCTGGGCATAGCCTCCTGGCACCTGAATCTTTAAACAGACTTTCATTCTCTCTGGGTTGGGCCCTGGGCTTGGTACTTGACATACCCCGATCCCTCACAAGGTGGGAACTGTTATACCCACTTTTTTGGTGAGAAAACCAAGGCTCAGGGAGCTTGCCAAATTGCAGGGCCTGGAGCTGGGATTCAGTGCCCCGTCTGAAGGCAGAGCCCATGTTTTGTCCAGGCCCTGGCACTGCCTCAGGTGAGCTGTGAAGGAAAAGCCTCACAGCACAAGGATGGAAAGCCCTGCCTAAGCCATTGGGCAGGCTCAGGTGTGGAGGGTGGGTGGTCCTGAAGCCCACCCCAGCTGGCTTTTCCAGTGGCCAGAACAAAGGGGCTTCCGGGAGTTAGGAAGGGCTGGGCGTGAGGGCCGCCTGTGGTTGTGAATCATTTCCCTGGCTGTGTCCTGTGGAGCAGCCCTTGGCAGAGAGGACTGCCTGGAGAGAGTTCCTTCCACCCAAAGCCACCCTGCCCTGTGCCACCCCCTGGCAGTGTCTACACACCAGTCTCCATGGAAAACTCCAAACGTGTTTCTGCTCTGCCAGGGCATTTGCTTGTTGTGTGCCTTTGGCAAGTGACTGCCCCCCTCTGAACCTCCATTCTCAATTGTCAAATGGAATCACAACCCTATATTCCTCAGGCAAGGAGCCCTGGTAGGGCAGATGGTTAAGCTCTTGACTGTTACTGGAAAGCTTGGTGGTTCAAACCCATCCAATGGCTTATGGTAGAAAGGTCTGGCAATCTGCCTCTGTGAAGATTACAGCCTAGGAAACCCTACGGGGCATGTGGTAGTTCAGTTTGTGTCAACTTGGCTGGGTCTGGTTGAGTGGCTGGGCAGCTGGTGGTAGTTATTCCCCATGATGAGACTGGCAATCAACTCCATGGTGGGATCTACCACAGGTGGCTGAGTAGCTGCCTTTGGGATGTGGTCTGCTTCCTGTACAGAAGGAGAAGGCTTGGGAATGGTCTCTAGCTTATGGCAACTTGGACCCTGCATGTAGCCGTGTCATTGTTCAGCAGCCTGCCATGCTCTCCGACCTTGGGACTTAAAATAGACTTAAATTAATGGCCTGCTGTGTGATTTGGTAATATCGGGACTGTACCTTTTTACTTGTCAACCTTGGGCTTGTCAGCCTCAGCAGCCAGCAGCTGTCTGAGTGAAGAAACGCCTCTAGCTCCAGTGGGCCGGGAGCTGAAAGCAGAGCTGAAGTCCAAGGCTGAGGGGCTTTCACCCAGCCCTTAGAGCCTGGCACTTTGAACTAGGACTTAAAGCCTCCAAACTGTTAGAGAATAAACTCCTATTTGTTAAGGCCATTCCATTTGTGGTATATTCTTGTCAGAGTGGCACTAGGTAACCAGAACAGGGCAGTTCCACTCTGTCACGTGGGGCTGCTATGAGTTGGAATCGACTCCATGACGTGTAGCAACTACAACTACCTCTTAGGTGGGGTGAGGGGCAGATGAGACAGCACGAAGCATGTGCCCCACACAGGGCCTGCCACAGCATTGGCACTCAGCAAACGTGCTGCCTGCCTCACTCTTCCTGCTTGTCACATGCAATTGTGATGTTTGCTTCCTTTCTGTACCCCACCCCTGTGCCACCATGACCATGGGCCCTGGGGCTGGCTGGGAGTGGGTACCACAGAGCTGCTAGTACTTGGAGGTTGATGGGAATGGACCCCTGCTGGCCAGAGAGGGCTCCAGAGAGTAGTAGGAAAGTAGTGGCCCAGACTCCAATGCCCTGGTAACCATCTATAATTTCCTTCAAACCTTTGGCAGAAGAGTGGAATTTCCCAGTCAGAATGGGAGAAGGTCATTCCAGACAAGACCTGGGGTAGCTGGATTTGGATTGGACCACACTGGCTACTTGGGGAGGGGTGATCTTCCCAGTGAGAGCTGGTCTCCTTTGTGCTGTGGGTGGGTGTCTGTGGGCTCCCTGCCCCTCATGCTGTCCCCTGAACCTATCTGCAGGACATCTGCGAGGATCCCCGCCTCTTTGTGGATGGCATCAGCTCCCATGACCTGCACCAAGGCCAGGTGGGCAACTGCTGGTTTGTGGCGGCCTGCTCGTCGCTCGCCTCCCGCGAGTCACTGTGGCAAAAGGTGAGGCTGGGGTGGGGTGTGGTCCTGGGGGATACTAACTTCCCTGCACCTCTTACTGCTAGGCACTGGAGGGGCACCTGGACATGCCACTGAGACTTTTATAAAAGCCTGTGCTGGGAATGGGGTGGGGGTGACATCAAGGCTCCCAGTATTGGGTGAGTGTCAGAACCACCTTTCCCTCCCCTGGTAGCCCAGGATCTCCTTGGGAAGATCCTGGACCTCTGAATATAGCTCCCAAAGTGGTTCTGATTGCCCCCTCCCTGCTGTCAGGGGCCCACAGTTCCTGGAGCCACCTGCTAGATACACACTTGAGAGATGTGGAAACTGCCTGCTTCTTGTTCAGTGTGGAGACACCACTAACAGTAACCTCCTGTATGTCCTTCTCTGGGCCTCACGCTCCCCAGTTGTTCAGAGGGAGGCGATCCAGATGACCTCCATCTACATGATTCATGCTTCCAAGCTGCTGAGTTTCTGGACCAGGGCCAAATGGTTTAGGTTGGAAAGAAAGGGCTTCAGGCCTGACACCTCGCCCTCTTGTGGTAGCATTAGACATTGCAGTTCTTAAATCCAACATGCAGAGCCTCTCCTGGGAAAGCATGGAGGCTGAATTCCTCCTCTTAGCTCTGGTAGCATAGTGGCTAAAAGCACTTGACTGCTAACCAGAAGGCTGGCGGTTCAAACCCACCAGCCACTCCTCGGAATATTGGGCAATCTACTTCTGCCGAGATACTGCCTCGGAAACCCAAGGAGGGGTCGCTATGAGTCGGGGCCGACTCGATGGCACATAACAACAACAACAACAACAAGGGAGGAGGAAGGTTGGGCAATCCTACTTCCGTAGTGATACTGCCTCGGAAACCCAAGGAGGGGTCGCTATGAGTCGGGGCCGACTCGACAGCAAACAACAGCAACAACAACAACAAGGGAGCTCTAGGAGCCTAAGGCACTTGACTGCTAACCAGAAGGCTGGCGGTTCAAACCTACCAGCCACTCCTCGGAAGGAAGATGGGGCAATCTACTTCTGTAGTGATACTGCCTCAGAAACCCAATTAGGGGTTGCTATGACTTGGGTCCAACTCGACGGCACATAACAACAACACAACAAGGGAGCTCTGGTAGCGTAGTGCCTAAGGCACTTGACTGCTAACCAGAAGGCTGGCGGTTCAAACCCACCAGCCACTCCTCGGAACCATAGTGATACTCCTTGGAAACCCAAGGAAGGGTAGCTATGAGTTGGGACCAACTTGATGGCAGTGAGTTTGTTTGTTTGTTTGTTTGTTTTTTTAAAGAGTTATTGGCTGAGATTGCAGCAGAGAGAGATCTGGGAGGGGTATTGCCAGGCCTGGATTCCCATTTTGGAAAATACAAATCATTGCTCCTTTCTCATTCCTACCCTTCCTGTTCTCCCAGGTAAGGGATTAGGGGTAAGGCTTAAGAGCACTGGGCATCTGAGTCTCAGAGACATGGGTTCAAGCCCCAAACTCACCATTTGGTAGCTATGCGACTTTCTGAGTTTGCTTATCTGAATAATGAGGATAATCAGAGCTACCTTTTTGGGGAGTTGTGGGAATGAAAGGAGATACTGGATTTAAGGTGCCTTGTGCTGGGTTGTGCTCAGTGAATGGGGTTGCAATAGTTGATACTGACATAATCGCATACGTATCCCCATGCCAGCAGAGTGAGCTGTGCCTCATACTCCAAGGCATCCTTCAGCCATCAGGGGGAGCCGTGCCTTTGGCTGAGGCTGGGACTGCTTTCTGTCTTCCAAATGGGTGTGGCCTCTGGAAGGTAGCCTGTCCCCCTGCCCCCATTCTAGGGCTGACCCCTGATGACCCTGTGGGGAGAAGGAGAGACTCTGCCTTGGTGCCTTTACAGAGGCCACCGCAGAGCTTATAGACCCAGGTAGTCATGGGGCCTCAGAGCCAGGAAGTTCTCAGGGACTTACATGGGGTTCACACTTGGGACTGCAAGGCCCAGAGAGGGTTGGGCCTAGAGCTGTTTTCTAGGTCTAGAACTGGTCCCCACTCTCTAGCTCCTGCCCCTTCTCTGAGCTCACCCTCCTCCACCCTCCTGTTGCTGGGCCAGGGCTCAGTCTGGGGGCTAGAGGTGGCATGTGGGCATTCTCCCTGTGACCTTGGCTGTCCCCACACCTCCCACTCTGCCCCCTAATTGCCTGTTTACCTGTGGTCTGTCCTTTGGAGGTGAGCTCCCCAGGGGCAGAGTTAACTTATATCTTCCCACTGAGCCTACCAGGAGCCTCACATACAAAAGGCTCAGGAAAGTTTTGGGAATAGAACCCCTTCCCAAACTGGCCAACTGCTGACCAGCAGCTTCACAGCCCAGTCTTGCTGCCTCCAACCTCCTTGGGACCTTCAGTGAGAGTGGAGTGGTGTGTAGGGAAGATCTTCAGCTTGCTGTCCACTCCCCCCACCCCCATGTCTGGCCCCAGGCAGCCCCCAGTGCAGCTCCCCCTCTAGCTAGTGGCAGAAAGGGCCTAGGACTTGGAGGTAGGGGGCCTATCTCTGATGCTATGTGACCTTGGGCCACCCTCATGCTTATGTCTGGGCCTGAGGTTCCTCCTGCAGGTGTTGGGGTACCTATCCTGGTTGGTCTCAGAAGCTGTAAGGGCCTGGGGGCTTGGGTACCTGGGAGGATGAGGTACCCAAGGAGGGTGGGGCAAGGGTGAAGGCTCTTGGCTAATTATGTTCTGCCTCCTGGTGCTGCCGTAGTGACAGCCGCTGAGTCCCGGAAGGAGGCCCAGGGCCCTGGGGAGCTCATTACTGGGCTTTGCCTTCCCCTCCTGTCCCTGCTGACCAGGCCGTGTTTGTTGTCACCTCTTAGTTTGTGGCCTGTTGCCCTGCAGGGCCTCCCCTGCCGCACCCTGTTTTCTCCATGGAAGGTGGGGGCAGGAACCCAGTCGGAGCTGCTCCCACCACCCTCCTGCCCAGCCTCACACTCTGGGGATGCTGAGCCTCAGATGCAGATGTATTGCACCTTCTGTAGAAATGCCTCCTCCTCCAGGGAGCCACCTCCTCCACCTCCAGCCTTGAAGCAGTCTGGGTTCAATGGGCATGGGATTTGAAGCTGGCCAGACCTGGGCTTTATTTTGGGTCCCTTACTAGTCATGTGACCTTGGGCATGTCACATTCTTGGCCTCAGTTTAAACCTGATCATTCCAGCCCCCAGGATTGTGGGGGGTGGGGGAGTGGAGAAGAGGAGGATGCAGGGGGCAAGCCCTTGACATCCAGCAGCTCTCTACATGTTTACTCCCTCTCCTGGCCCCCTTCTCTGGGTTCCCTCACCTAATTCTCTCTTCTCCCAGACACTTCTTGGCAGTGGGCCACCTTTCCTATGGGACCCCTGGTGGGGCATTATGGTCTCCCCTTACTTTGTCTCAACTGTGTGTTCCCTGGCTGTGGCCTTTAGCTGACATGGTTTTGTGAACCAGAAATCAGGATGTGACAGTGGGGTTCAGTCCTTGCCATCAGGTCTGGCCTGGTCCATGATGTCTCCATAGGGGCAAGTGTGGTCCCTATGGTTTGTCCTGCCTGGGCTGGACCCAAGGAGCTCTGGTGGCACAGTGGTTAAGAGCTTGGGTGCTAACAGAAAGGTTGGTGGTTCGAACCCCACAGCTGCTCTGTGAGAGAAAGATGTGGCAGTCTGCTTCTGTAAGATTATAGCCTTAGAAACCCTTTGGGGCAGTTCTACTCTAATTTTTAGAACTGACTGGACAGCAATGTGTTTGATTTGGTTTTGGGGCTGGACCCAGGACCAAGAGGAGTCAGTCAGGCTCCCAGCCACAGGAGAGCATGGACATGACAACCAGTCCCGGTCCATGAGAGCAAGTGCTAGGTGGTAGGCAGTACTGGGGAGAGGCCTGGGAGGGCTGCTCAGCGGCAGGACCAGGCTATCTTTTAGCTCCATTTAGAAATGTTTCCAGCTACTTGGGTGGTACAAAGCGTTAAGTGCTCACCTACTAGCCAAAAGATTGGCAGTTCAAACCTACACAGAGGCATCTTAGAAAACCGGCCTGGTGATCTGCTTCAGAAAAGTCACACAGCTTGAAAACACTGTGGAGCAGTTCTCTGCACACATGGGGTCACCGTAAGGCAGAACGAACTCCACGGCAAGTAACAACAACACAAACATTTCCTACTCCCCACCCTGGCCCTGTTATGTAAACAGTTCATGCTCTTTATGTTCAATTCACCCCACTTTACTTGAGCATGGGACCATTGTAGGTGCTGGGGACTGAAACTTTGAAAAAGTACAAAAAAGTTCCACATCACTGAAGAGTTTCATTATACAGAAACAACCAGCAAGGATTTCAGATGTTTCCTTCTAATCTTTTTCCATTCATGGTTAGAAGTACCCACTTTCCTCCCATCGCAATCTGTATTAACATCTCCCTGTCTGCTAGTCTGTGGAATACCCCTGGGGAATTGCTGCTGGTGACTCCCAGAATTGACCCCAGCACTTGAAGGTCTTGGCAGGACAAGTGCTCTATCTTTCTTAGTACTGTCCTGTTTTCCATGGAGTCCAAGATCCCACTTAAACAGCCTCCATATCTAGCAGTTGACTATGCGTGGTCCACTAGGCCCTTCAGATTGTTTTCAGTTGTTCAGTTGGCCTGTGTCTCTGCCCTCTTTTCTGTCCATGGCATGTCATGGCAGCTACTCCTCTCATTTATCCCAACTCCCAACCACACTCACATGCTCCAGCTCTTCAGTTTACCTACATGTAGTAGCTGAGCTCCTGATTCTGCCCCAAGAACTGGGGTACAAATGTTTATTAGGTTCTGCTTCTTCCTCAGCCTCCAGTCTCCTGGGGAAAACTGAGGATCATACAGGTGGAATAAGTGGTGGGACTTTAGTGGGAGATAAACCTGGTCATGGGGCTGCCACGTGGGTGTAGGACTGAGACAGAGACAGTAAGCAGGAATCATGTAGGGTCTCAAAGTGCAGTCCCTGGACCAGCAGCCTCTGCATCCTCTGGGAGGCTGTTAGAAATGCAGACTCTGCCTGCCTCAAAACCAGACTCACTGCCACTGAGTTGATTCAACTCATAGCAACCCCTCCTTGGGTTTCCCAGGCTGTTTCTCTACTGAAGTAGATTGCCCAGTCTTCCTTCCAAGGAGTGGCTGGTGGGTTTGAACTGCCAGCCTTCTGGTTAGCAGTCAAATGCCTTAGGGACTGTACCACCAGACTTACTGAATTAGATGCTCCAGGGGTGGGCTCTGGCGGTCTTTAACAAGTCCTGCAGGTGATTCAGATGCCCACTAAAGTTTGGGTCTAGGTGAGACATGATAGTGGCTGGGCCAGAGTCCTGGTGCTAGGGATGGAAGAGAGAGCTCAAAGGGTATTTGGGAGGCAGAATCTACAGGCCTTGAAAATTGGGTAGGGAGAGGTGAGGGTGAAAGGGAGTTGAGGCTGGGTCTCAGGTTTGGCTTGGTGACTTCAAATCTTAAATGAGGTGGGCCCTCTCTGGTCCTTGGCCTTTCCCGTACCTTCCCACCAGGTGGTAGTCCAGCCTCTCCATACATACCTCCAGTGAGCTGTGCTCCCCACCTCCCTCCCCTCTTACTGCCCTTATGAAGTGTTCCCTTCTTCACAAACAAGCCCGCTCCCAGCGTCGTTGTCAGGGCGGTTGCCACAGCAATTGACATCAGCAACTGGTCCCCGAGGAGTCAGTCTCTCACCCACCTGCCTGCCTGCAGTGCCTCCTTTACCACTTGCGCAAGACAAGAGGAGGCGTCTGGGACCCCTGGGAAGTTTGACATGTGGGTCTCCCACCGCTCCCACACCCCATTTGGAGGACTGGGTGGGGCTTGGAAGGGCCTGTGGTAGAGAAGTGAGGGTGGAGGAGGAGGGCTGAGGGTGGCGAGGAGGGTAGGCGGGGCCCCTCTCTGTAGCCTCTTCCCTTGGTGCCCGGAGGCGCCAGCCCATTCGGCTCCCTGACAGCGGTGGTGGTGGTGGCAGCAGTAGCAGAAGCAGCAGCAGTGGGGTGATGGCGGAGGACGGGCCACAGAAGCCTCAGCTCGAGATGCCGCTGGTCCTGGATGAGGACCTGACCAAGCAGATGAGGCTGCGTGTCGAGAGCCTGAAACAGCGTGGGGAGAAGCGCCAGGATGGCGAGAAGCTGCTGCGGCCAGCGGAGTCTGTATACCGCCTCGACTTCATCCAGCAGAAGAACCTGCAGTTTGAGCGCTGGAATGTGGTGCTGGACAAGGCAGGCAAGGTCACCATCACGGGCACCTCGCAGAACTGGACGCCAGACCTCACCAACCTCATGACACGCCAGCTTCTGGACCCCACTGCCATCTTCTGGCGCCAGGAGGACTCAGATGCCATAGATTGGAATGAGGCTGATGCCCTGGAGTTTGGGGAGCGCCTGTCAGACCTGGCCAAGATCCGCAAGGTCATGTACTTCCTCATCACCTTTAGCGAGGGCCTCGAGCCTGCCAACCTCAAGGCCTCTGTGGTTTTTAGCCAGCTCTGAGGGCAGCCCCTCACTGCTGCTCTTCCTCTCATCCGGCTGCTCTGCCCTGCCCATGCCCACTCCCCCAAGGTGTGTGCTTGGGGACATTCTTCTAGCTGTTCAGCTTGTACTTGGCTCAGCCAGCCACTCCCTGGAGTCCTGTGTCCCTTCACTCCCTGGAGTCCTGTATCCTTCCTCTTTTCCTTTTCCCTGGTGCTGGCACTCCTGCTCGTGGGTGGAATTCAAGGCTCTGTAGTCTAGAAGCTGAACTGGCTGACGCTACTTCTGCGGTAGACGATAGAGGCCTGATCGGGATTGGTGGGGGAAGATAGAGAGGCCCTGGGCAGCTGCCTTTTCCCTGCCTCATGTGGGGAGGAGAGACTGAGACAGAGAGACACAGACAGATAAAGAGATCCAAAGAACTGGACATCCAGCCTATTCTGGAGATGGAGAGACAGAGACAATAGGAGCAACTACCTTGGGAAGCAAGCACACAGGCGTATGGTGCCCGCCCGGCCACAGTGCACTTTGCAGAAGCCCATGTCTAGAGGTGAACACCCAGCCTAGCGACCCAGGAGAGTGCTACTCCCAATGGGCCTGGTGGGGTCCCATAATGCCTCAGGGCAGTCAGGACATTGGGCAGGGCTGCAGTGGAGATTGTGGTCTCTCTCTCCATCTGGCCGAGTGGGTCTTGGAAATGGCGGGGGCGTGGTGGAAGGTGTGCTGGCTCAGCTCTGGCTCTTCTGGGAATGACTCAGAGTGAAGAAGTGAAGGAGTGGGAGGGGTATAAAAAAGTCACATAGAGATCTATCTACCTATCTTTATTGTATGTACATTTGTATTAAGAGAGAACGTGTTATATTCATATGGATATATTCTAGAGGTCTAGTCCTGCCCTATGTACAAGTCTGCTTTTATATTATTGTGTAGTTGCCCAGCTGTTCAAGGGTGGCTCATAGCAGGGCCTTGGTCAGGAAGACCTTGGTAAGGGCTTTCTGAGTTGGGGACTTCATGGCTCATGCGGTGGAGTGGGGATCGGCCTTGTAATGTGGCTTCTCTCTGCCTGGGGAGACTGGTGGGAGGAGGTCCAGGCCCCAGGGCTCTCTAGGCCTCACATGTAGCCTGCTGGATAGTTGGATTTTTCCCAGCTCACTAGTCGAGAAGGCATCTGTCAAACTTCTTCAGAGCTGAGGGACAGGGCAGGGCGAGGCCTGGTAGGGCAGTTTTGAGGGCTGGTGGTCAGATGTGGGCTGGAGGGGTCACTGGGGTATAATGAAGAAATGCTGACCTCAGGTCATTGGGTGTAACCACTCAAAAAAAGACAGGGAAACTATGGCATAAAGAGGGCCTTGCCCAGTTGTCAACAGATTCTGTTCCAGCTCCCAAGCCTCAGGCCCCTTCATACTGCTCAGACATAGAGAGTGCACCCCTTAGGGAGGAGCCTAACTCACTTGGTCAGGTGGCAAGGGCCCTCAGAAAATATCCCCAACACCCTTTTTCAATGCCAGTCTGTTTTATGTCCCTGGTCAGACAGAGGCATGTCCACATTTCCCCCCATGAAGCAGAACCATGGGGAGCCTTGGGGCCCTGGGAGCAGATGCACTGAGAGGTGGATAGTCAGAGCCATCCCAGGGTAGCTGAGGCTGCTGGTAGGACAACTAGCCATCAGAGGTGTTAAGCAGGAGCGGGGTGTTGAGGAGATTGGCTGTGGTGGGAGCTACGGTCCTTTCTAATTTGGAATTCTGGGGCCTGTTCTGGGGCATGCTTAAAGTCCTGGCCATTGCCTGCCTTTGTTCCCTGCTGACTACTTGGGAGGGATAGACCCCTGAGGGTGGCCCTACCCTCTGCTTCTTTGCTTGACCTCTCCCTGCAGCTTTATGGGCCTTGTAGTCCAACCTGCCTGTATCCCTGCCCTCCTCTCACCTCCGCCTCGTGCACGTGGGTGAGTGCTTCTGTGTGCCCACGCTGTGTCCCCAATAAAGTCTATGCACCCTCCCCTGGTGTGTGTGTCTCTGTCTGTGGGTCACCCCTCTCCTTAAGGAGCTCTGTTATATCCCCCTGTCCCTTCACAGCTCTGAGCATCCCTACGTCCCACACCCCTCTTCCCAACAACTTTCAGGGATGAGGGCAGAGCAGTCAGGTGACTGGCTCAAGGCCAACATCAGGATTGGGTTTAGAACAGGCTCTCCTGACACCCAGCTAGGAACCAACATCCCAGAGAACTTTTTCTCCAGTAGCCTGAAGATCAGCCTTTTTATGAAGTGTGGAGAGAGCCATGTTGAGGCCAGGGAGCAGGGGGTGCCATTTGGCCCTAGGAGAACACAGACCAGAGGGGCTGGGCTGGGCATGCATGAGACCATCTTCCATCTGCAGCCTTCCTCCCTTGCAGGGTGCTGGACAGGGGCCAGAAAGGATAGGGGGAGTAGCTGAGGGTGGGGTGGGGTCAGGCCTGTGCCATGGTTTAGTAGCCTGGTCTCTGTCACTGACTGCATGTCCTCAGACAGCCTCTAACCCTCTCAGACAGCCTCTGACCCTCTCAGACCTTCCATCCATACAGTGGTGTGAATGACCTTGCCCTCTGAAGTCCCTCCCAGCCCCTAGTATTTGGGACCTTAATGCCCCACTTGACCCTTTCTCAGATCTCTGTTCTTTCATCTCTCTCAAGCTCAGTCGTTTTATAGAGACAACTGAGGCCCAGAAGCATAAGGTCCCAGAGGGTGTGGAGAAGCTAGAACAAGGGGTGTGGGTGGACCTGGGCCTGTGAACCTTCAGCCCTGTAACACTGACCCAGGTCAGGCCAGGCCAGCTTTCTTCCCTGAGACCTACTGTCAGGCCCGCTTCACAGGCCACACTTGCAGCTTTGTGTGGTAATTGTCCTTGCTTCCAAATGGCCCCTCCAGCCAGGTCTCACCTCCCCTTTCCTCCTCACTCCAGAGCTTTCCTTTATTTATTTATTTATTTTTCTTTTTATTTTGATTTGGGTGAAGATTTACAGAGTAAATTCACTTTTCATACAGCAGCAGTTCACATATACTTTGTCTCATGTCATTGACCAAAATTTACAATGCAACAGCTCCCCTCCCACTTCCTCCCCATAGTTACCTCTTTCCAGTGTCCATCCCTCCATACTCTTCTGCACCCTGAGCTGTCTCCCTGTGCATAAGCAGCCTTTCCTTCTCCCATGATTGTTCTCTCCAGGGTGTGTGTCTACTTGAGGTAAATGTTTAACTCACTTGCCTGTTCTTTGTTTGGTTGGAAACCACAGGTGTGGGTTCAATCCCAGACCTGAAGGGCAGCTAGGGGCCATAGTCTCAGTGGTTTCACCAGGCTCTATTGGACCAGCAAACCAGAGCTTTCCTTTAGATCAACTACTTCCGGCTCATGTCCTTTCCCCCTTTACACCTCTCAGGGCATCCAAAGAACCCTTCCTTCCCCAGCCCTATACTGCCCCTGCCTCCCACAACCCCAATTCCCATCTCCCAGGAATCTCTGATTTCCTGGACATACCCTTCTCTAAGCCTTGCCTTTCCAGCCACTGTCTTCATCTACTCCTGGAGATGCCTTGGGGTGGGAGGCAAGGAGAATAGAGACAGAGCAATAGAGGGCCTGGTTTTCACCCCTGACTGGGGGCAGGGGGTGCCAAGAATGAGAAATGAGGACCCATTTTTCATGGAAACCACAGAAACCACAGGGTTAAAAGACCTGCCATTTCCTGAGCTTCTGCCTCACAGAGATGCAATGTGTGTAGTGGTTAGGAACCTGCCCTGGCTCTGCCACTGACCAGCTAGCTGTGTGATCCTGGGCAAGTAATAGAGCCTCTCTGAGCCTGTTTCCTTATCTGTCAGCTGAGACCCATCATGGTACCTACCTCACAGAGTTGTGAAGATTAAACAGGTTAATGTCTGTAAAGTATTCAGAGCTTTACAGAGCTGGCCCATGGGGACCCTCTGGTTGTTTGTTGTTACTGTCCCAGTCACCACAAACACTTGGTCTTAATTTTCACCATTATTCTGGGAGGAAGGGGCAAGGGCAGCCTTTTTACTGATGAGGAGCAAAAGGTTCAGAGAAGTGAAGTGAGTTGCCCAAGGCGACACAGCAGGCCAGTGCCTATGGTATCAGGTGAGGTGGTATGGAAGGATGGGCAGGGGCCAGGCTGGACTCTCTGATCAGAGAGTAGGGGTTATAGGGGAGGAGATTGTCCTCCACCACTGTCCCCAGGTTCCCCCATCCCAGTGTAGCAAATCCCTGGGTCTTAGGATGGTACTCTCAGCCATCCCAGTATAGCCGGGGAGATGGAGGCTCAGTGGGAGGGGCTGCCGAGGCTGGGGGTCCCTACCTAGGTCTCTCAGCCTCTGGCTGAGCTCTCTCCTCCTGCCTCAGGCTCTCTGCCTTGTAAACATGAATGCCCGGGGCCCCTCCACAGTTGCATCAGGAGTCCTGATCCCCAGGGGTGGTGAGCCGACAGACTGGGGTTCTGCTCCCCAAGGAGGCAGCAGGGTGGTGCCCAACCTCCCTGCCCTCTTCCAGTCATGGCATCTGAAACTCTGGGAATTTGAGACTTAGAATCAATAGTTGATAATGGAAGAATCTCAGATGTTAAGAACCTGGGACCCTTTAGTTTTGAGGGCTCGAAGAGGCCTTGTAGTTCATTTCCACCAACTTTGATAACACAGAAAACCCTACCACAGTCCCTCACCCTGTACCCGGCAGGCCTTGTTCAGAAGTGCTCTGAGCTTCTCCTCTGGGGTCCCAGGCAGAGATCTGTGAGAAGCCTCCTCCCTATGCCATGTATACACACACTTACACACATGTACACTCTCACACATGGGCATACTTGTGTACACATGCTGGCCTTCAGACATGTACACACACACACTCACAAATGTACATGCTTGTGTACACACACACTGACACACACAGAGCTCATGGGCTGTGCTTCCCACACTGGTCTCCTGACCCTCCCAGCCCTCTCTTCCTATCTCACAGCCTTGGCAGAGCCCAGGTCTGTACCAGCCCTGGTA